ATTGAAGGGACTTTTAAAAATACCAAGGTCTATTACTGTCATAAAATATATTTGAGAGAAACTCACATCTTAAACTTCAGGTAACTATTTTAAGGCTATTTTTGTACTAGTGGCTAGCTTAGCACTCTTTTTTTTTGGTGAATGCTTGCTTGAAATACAGGGAGTTTTAAAAGGGGAAAAACATACCTTGGTTTGGATGCATAGTGCAACAGTCAACTTCTGCTAGAGTAAATATATGCTAGATAAAACCAAGTTTTTGATTCTTGAAACATTGTCTTAATTATTTGAACAGGATAACCAATGATGCCAGAGAAGATGAAATGGATGAAAATCTTGCTCAAGTTGGAAACATTCTTGGGAATTTGAAAAACATGGCTTTGGATATGGGCAATGAGATTGATGCCCAGAATAAGCAAATAGACCGGATAAATATAAAGGTAAATGTCAAAAGTGTTCTCTGCTCTCAGTTCAGAGGTTGTAACTCAGAGGTTATTAGGAATGTGCTCACTGTATTTGCAGCAAATATGTGGTAAGGTTATGCCATTCTCTAGGTTGCAGTGATATGAACAAGAGATACACCTTGATACATATAGGGTATATAGCTTAAAATTCAAGTGCTTGAGTGCCAGGAAACCTAAATATACAGCACAGATTGCTAATTAGTCTGAAAACTAACAAACTTCATGGGATCTAAAGTACTAACATTTACTGGAGGTATACCTGGGGGATTGTTGCTTGCAAACAATTTTTTTTCTTGTGGTAGGGATTAGGTATTTTTAACAATAGCGAGGCTCTTCTGGAATTCCTAGAAAGTCACTATAATGAATGTGAAGTAAACCACAAGTTATTCATTGCTTTAATTGTTGTGGACAAATTAATATTGGACCTGAGGAGACTTTGGAATAATGGAGTTTGTAGGTGCACAGGGAAATGGTCTGCACATTAAGTTAGTTATAGTAACTTCCTTTTTTATATATAATTTTATTAATTAAGTATTAGCTTCTCCAAACAGATTAACCATATAGAAATATGTTTTGGGGAGTTTCTTTCAAAGGGCAGCTTAATGAGAATGCTAAGTCTACTCATTTCAGAATATGGACATTTCTAAAATAGAAGTTATTTTATAAGCATTCTGGTTGAGAAAGGAAGAAAAACCTTCAATGAATAGTGTATATTAAAGATTTCAAAAAGTAGAAATGAACACTGATTACTGTGAAATTATAGTATTAAGATGAAATGGGATTTTAAAAATCTCACTGAAATGTTGCAGTAGGGTTAAAAGCAAGAGGAATGGAATTCCTCTGGTTTGACAAAAATGCTGGTTGCACCTGTGTCAGCTGCTCAATTTTGTCTAGTAATTTAGTATTGATAAGGCAAATCAGCATGATTATATGGAGGATGCCTTACCTGTTCCCTGAAACTGCACATCTGATTACCATGTTAAAAAAGTCAGACAGTTTGAAGTACTAGAAAATTTCTTGGAGTTTAAAATGAGATGTGAAATTCTTATAATGCAGACTGAAAACTGCCTGGTCAAATAAACTGCAAGTGGGAATTACTGTTTTCAGTGATAGTGTTTCTAGTAGATTCATCTACTAGATGAATCTACTAGAAAAGAGAGTAGGCATCTCTTTTGGCCCGAACTGCAAGTGGGAATTACTGTTTTCAGTGACAGTGTTTCTAGTAGATTCAGGTATCTCTTTTGGCCTGGTTCTCTTTTGGTTTAGTGAATTGAATAAATCTTGCTGATCAAGTCTTACTAACTATTAAAATATGGTGTATACAAGTTGGAATTGCTTTGCAGACCAGAATGAAAATGAAAGTGCAGTTCCTGGCTTTGAGACTGGCAACTTGTCTCAGGATATTTAAATTAATCCTTCTATGCTGATAACTTCTTAAATGTAGTGAATAGTATGGAAACCAAACCAAATATTGTCTGTAAATCTCCAAACAACAGTATCATGTAAAGAAACAAAGAGCTTAACTTCAGAATAGAACTGATACTTCTATTTTTTTAGGACTTCTTACTCACCTGGGAAATAGGCTTGACTGGGTGACTTTTGGTAGTGTTATGCAGGACTCCTAGTCTGAAGAAACCCATAATGAAACAAACATTACGGGATTTTTCTTAGAAGAAGATCTACTAACTAAATTAGTGTTTCCAAAGTGTTGTTAACAGATTAGTCTCTCTTTTTTATAGTAGGTTTTTGTTCCTCCCCTCCCCTTGACCAGAAAGGCAGGAAGGAGGGAATGGGAGGGAAGTACTTGAACTGCAAGTGTGCTCTGCCCAGCCCATTTCAAGACAGAGGTGTGAAATGGCCAATACTTAGCACATCCTGTGCTAATACTTGGCACAGTTTGAGTTTCTTAGGAGTTCCATTCACTGTGTGGGCAGAGGGTGGTTTTGTGCGTTTTATACTTCCTGCACATTCCCCACAACACACTGCATAAATGGGGAATTACTTAAAAACTCCTTATCATACCTTCCAGTAAAACTGTGTTTTGACATTTGTTCAACCTAGATACTGTGGCCTGACTTTTAATGCTTTAAACAATAATAAAATCTAAAGCATTTCTTAAAATACCATGTTGTTACAGCACTATTGCATTGGACTGGATGTGAATGAAAACTATGGATTTGCACTAAGCAAAATAAATCTGACTTCATGCCCATAGGCCCAGTTTTGACTATTACCTCCAGTGTACAGAGATTGGTTCCCTTCTCTTTACCACAGTGATGATACCTTGCAATTCAGAAGTTCATATCAGTTTGAATTTTTAAATTGTTTTGCATCGAGTCTGCAAATGACCTACGAATTTCTCTCTTTCAGGCTGATACAAACAGGGAACGCATTGAGCAAGCAAACATCAGAGCCAAGAAACTAATTGAAAATTAAAGCCTGCTGTCATTGTTCAATGACAGCCTCTCCAGCTGCAAGCCACCATATTCATGGATCTGTGAAACTTATATTCTGAAATAAGAGGGGCTGGGACAAATGAAGCAGTACCCCTTCTGTAGGGATTAGTTTTCTTTTATTGCTTCATGTAAACATGGCCTTGACTCCAAGAAAGCAGCCAACTTCCTTCTACTCATCTGCCTTCATCTTCTTTAAACTGCTCAGGGCTAAAAGTGTTAGGGCTTTGAGAATCTTCTTGCATGTTTGATTCCTCTTCCCAGTTTCTTTTTTTTTTTTTCCCTGCACCGGAAATTCAGTCCTTTATTTAAGTTGAACAAGCAGGGTAACCTGAATTCACAATTGTGGAAAGTTGGAGAGGGCACTTTGCACTGTTTGAAATACCTCATAAGTTGAGTGTCTTCACTAAAATAGGGACTAGGTGAATGTTGTCTGATTTGTATCTCTAGCATCTAACCATAGTTTTACAATCCAAACCACAACTGGTTTGGAGTTGAATTCGTGTATCACAGAACTGAAGAGGCCCATTACTTATAACTTGTGGATTAAGGGCTTTAAAACACTTCCTAACCACATGAACTTTTAAGGTAATGGTAGCCAGAGGGATATACAGGTTTCCATTTCTTTACTGTAAGTTGACATCAGTTTGGAGGCCATGACTAATCATGCTGCACTGTTCTGATAATATTTGTTGTGTGTATATACCTATCTGATCTAAGCCCCATGCACACAAGTAGAGGAAGATAAAACTATGTGTCTCCCTAAGGTATTTATTTGATGGAAAGTTTTACACCTCTCATCTAAAAGCTAACTTTTAATTGTTTGAATGAGGCATCTGAACTGGAAGAAACTGAGTAGAAAAGCATGCACTTTGCTTGCATCCCATATCTTACTCTCTTTTGGCCAGTTTTCACTGGAGTTCAGTTTATGCCTTTCTCCAGTGCAAAAGAATGATTGAGATCTGGTGCAGTGTTTGCTCTCAATGGTGACATTGGGGGTGCTTCTAAAACCTACCAAAACCAGAGAAGCTTATTGTGAAACTTCTTTGTCACAAGTCTGGAGGAAGCAGTAGCTATTTATGAACTGTATGCTAGTTCTAAATAAACTAGTTCTAAATAGATTCCTGACTGGCTTATTATTGCAGACATTGGGACTGGCAATTGGAAATATTACATATCCAAGTTGCTTGCAAATAAAATGTTTATACTCTGTTGCAGAATAGAGAAGTTTCTGACCAGGTGAGGTAAAACACTCTCCTGTGAAGAAAAATAGTTTGGTTTTACTGTAATATAAAAATATTTTCTTGAAATCTTGAGAAGAATTAAATTCTAAGTTACTTAGATTATTTGAAATCCACCCAGCAATATATTATGCTTGTTTTAAAGTTGAAAATTATGCTTTGGACTAACCTGTGATGCTCAGTGTTGGATGGCAAGAATCTTCAAACCAAATTGATTGGACAAATAATTTAAACTTAATAGCATTATGGGATGCTTTTTTGAAGGACAGTCCACAAATGCCCTGTAGCCACTAATATTGCATCCCATAGCCAGAGATGACACTAATCCATCAAAATTCAGGACAGCGTTTGTTAAGTGTTCTATTTTCTTTTTAGTAGAAATACAGTCAGTGTTATCAATGTATTTTCAGTTGGGTCCCAGGACAAATTGATATGTAAAGAAAAAAGAACCAAAACCAACAACCACACGCACAAAAACCCAACCAAACAAAAACAACCCAACAACCGACCAAAGGATGGGGCAGCTGCATGTAAAAACAGGCCAGTGGCAGTTTGCCTTATGTGAATAAGGTGAAGTCATTTTTAGGGGTCTAGATACTTGAGTAGTGTGGGTTGGCTCCTCTCTAGGTTCCGGTAATTGTTGGAATGCTAATGCATTTCAAAAGCTCACTAGCTACCCAATCAGTCAATTAAGATAATGTGCTTAAAAATGTAAGTAGCAAAGAAGTACTTTTACAAACATTGCATGGTAAACTTCAAACAGCCACCTGCATAGACTTTGTATGCCTTTGTTTGCTTCTTGAAAACTTCAGATGAATTTAAGAAATATTTGCTGCTAGTTGTGAAAGCAAAAGTGTATGTTATTTAATTATGATTGTCTCCTGGAACAGAAGACTGAAGTGGTTACCTTATTCTGCTTACACAGTGCAAGCCTGCTCTGTAGCATTTGGACATTCCAAACATCGGAATGTTTTTCTCCCTTGCCGTTGCAAGTTCTTGTCCGTGACTTGCCTAATCTCTAACAATAAATGAGCACGTTGGCTGATATAATGCTGTGATTGGTATATCAAAAGTGTAATATTGCAGTGAATACCACAAAAAATAATTTCTGAGACTCTTGAGTGTTATCTGAGTATCAATACCATTTTCTGATACAGCAAGAGCCAAATCTGTGAGGGAGTTGGTGCCTTTATGTTAGTCAAAAACAGTTTGCTTCTTGGATGTCTTACTGTTGTCTGTAGAATAGATGCTTAATTTCCATATCTATGGTATGAAATCAACACTTGTACATCTTTGTATGTCTAAATGCTATTAAGAATGAAGGTTTACAGTTTCTGCTTTTGATTGTTAAACTATATATTGTGCACAAAGAATACATACTTTTATAACTGAATGTGTTTTAAAACTGTTTTCTCTAGAAATGTCTTTGTTTAGTTTCCTGTCCTTGAAAAACTTGGCAGAACTAGTTGCTATTATGCAACTAGGAAGTTCCTAATCTATTTTTATTTCACAGAAATCCCGGTGTTAAAAAAAGGATAGGTGTGGTTGGGAGGAGAGGAATATTGTGGTCTTTAACACTCTGGTTTTGATCCCTGCATAATCATCTCCTAAATGCAGACTGTGGACTGTGTCCATCTCTTCTTTGAAAGACCCTCACATACATGGGAGTATACTTGAGGATGACAAAGGAACAAAGTAGAATAACTTAAAACTTTCTAGTTAAGTATTGGTAGCAGATACCTAGCAAATAATTAGTCCAATAGATGAAATGAAGTGATTTAACCTACTGCAAAAGAAATTTCATTTGTGAAGCAATTAAATTGTATTTTCTCTCATACCACAGCCTCAGATTCCCAAAACACTCTTAAGCTGGAGGAGGTATGGGGGGGAAATAGACACTTTTGTTGACTTGCAACAGTTCTGAGTTCTGACACCAGCATACCTGGGAAGAGCTTGAAAGAAGTACTTCTAATATATTATCTAATATATTAGTAACCAGTATACCATTAGTATACCAGTAACCAGGAAAGGAAACTAGGGACAGCCTGCTTATGTAACTATTACGAGGAGGCAACACACATCCCATGGGTGTCAGGTTGGGTTTTTTTTCCTGCAATATGAATTCTTCTGTTTCTCTTCTCTTTCTTTCCCTTTCTTTCCTGATTTTAGTGATTTCAAAGGCAATCATTTTGGCAACTTTTGGTCTATTTCCTTACACCCAATTTCATCTCAGTACAATTGGTTGTAGTCACTCCATTTCAAATTTTCTAGATTTTTCAATTTCAGTTTTGATTGACCATATGCCCTTTCTCAAGTGTTTGTTCAACTCTCTCCTCCAATTTCAAGATTTCATTCCCTTTCCACACTTTAAAGAGAATAATTGGTAAATTCAAGCTAGTCTACTCCTTGATGAAAGACAGCTTTTTAGCAGAGCAGTAACTGTATTATGAACAGCAGCACATGCTGCTTGTACAGCTACTTGCAGAACTCACCTCTGTGAAGGCTATAGGGTGAAACAACTCACTGTTCACAGCACACAATGACCTGCAGTTGCTAATTCACCTTTGCTGTGCTGGAAGCAATGCAGCGTCTAAATGCTGATGGAATAGATGGATGAAATGTGTGTCTACTGCAATGGAAAATTAGAGAGCAAGGCATGTAGGTCTGAAAAAAATACATAAATTGTTTATATTGTTAACTGGGGTAATGTTCTACCTCAGTAATTCCAAAATTAAAAAGCTGCAAGTGTAATTGTGCACGGAACTAAAATTGGTTTATAGCTTCACTTGTTGCAGGGTGGGGATGAGGAGAAGGGAAAACAGGAAGTCCCAATATAAAACTACTACTAGGTTAGAGTGCTGAAATGCCTAGAACAGCATTCTACTATGTGACTTAGTCACAGTTCATTGCTGTGAGTTAAAACAGGAAAGCCATCAGCCAGTTATTTTTTCCTTGCAACAGAAGCAAGTCATCCTCTGTTCTGGAACAAGTTTAGTTAATTAGGACTAACTTGGTTCCAATCAGTATTTTATGTGGTGCTTTCTCCATTTTGCTCTAAAAAATCTGATAGCTGTCATAACTGCAAGGCAGCAAAGGAGCCCAACAATGAGTAACTGAAAGGTTACTAAGTGTACTAGTGATCACAAAAAACAAATGTTGATTTACTGAAATTCTTCCCACAATTTTAGTATTTTTTTTACAGCAATGCTAACTCCACAGTTTTCAATGGTTCTGTTCTACCATCTCTTCTTACACACTGTTGTTGAATAGCAGAACCCTGATAAACACGTATTAAATGAGAGAAGCAGCATCACTGAGCACGGATGCTGTCAGTTAAAGTGCAGAACCAAAATGCCACTGCAGCACAGTATTGCCAAGTGCATACATATTGATGATAGACCACTCCTTTGGTGAATGCAAAGGGGGAATCTGCTTAACTGCTAATTTGTTCTCTTGATGTCTCATGCATAGCAAAGCTATAGGAAAAAAAAAATCTAGTACTTCAAATAGGATTTAGGTATCAAGTAGAAGGAGCTAAAATTTAGAACAAGTGTGGAGGCTTTATTCACAACTCCATTTGCATGTCCTAATCTGTGGAATCTATTAGTATGAAGTTGAATACATTTCTAACTATACAGGGCCTTGCATTTTGGTAAGACATAAGTGTTCTTAAAGCACTTCCCTGGTTATGCCATGCAAAACAAAGTAGTCTCATAAACATGGTCAGCTGTCAGCTACTTCTGCTAGTAGGTTTTTTTATTAAGTAATAGCTGGAATGGGAAGTCTAAAGTACAACTGGTTGCCTGTTAAATGATGAATCACATCCATCCGTTGAAAAAGGAGCTGATGTTCCCTAAAACACTCTTCTTCTAGGTATTACTATGTAAGAATTGAAATAAAATGGCAGCAGGGTCAGGGAAATAAATACTCTCTGAGCATCTCACAAAAGAATCACTTATTGCTAATCATAATTATGAGTGTAATGTTGAAGTGTAGCTGTTACCAACAACTGACAGACTCAAGTAGCTAAGTGAGGGCTTTCAGTGACATCTTAGTACTACTAAATAAAATGACAACAGTTACACCAAATAAATTTGAACTGATTTTTTGAAAATAATTTACTAAAATATACAAGTACATTTTCCTTTTCAGTATAAGTTACATAATTGCATACATTTTTAGCTCTTTCTAGGTGCTTTTGGTAATAAGGCAGCAGCAGTGGGCTGACGACTGAAACCTTCAGCATTGCTCTGTACACAAGGAGTCAGTGCAAGGATATATTTTCTAGCAATATACATTTTTACTGAATACACAGAAGATGAACCTAATTTTTATTTGATACAGCTCAAGCAAAAGTGGACTGTAGTGCAATTCTTGCTTATGGGAAAAGAAAGCCTGTAGAGTAAAATATAAATTAGGGATGCTCAAACCACAATTTGTTTACTGGAAGCTGTTAATAAAACATTTAACTTAACCACAACTATTTGTGCTTCATTAAAAAAATCAACTTAAGACAGCTTATAAACTAAAACCTTATTTGTAAAAGTTCTCTGCAGAACAGTGCTTACTGCAAGATATACAGTGCTTTGGTGGTAGAACTTCCATGTGCTATCATGGAAAAATGTTTCTAGAAGAAATAATCCTCTTACAAATCAACAGCCAGCTTCCTGACAAAAGGGAACTGGCAACTTTGAAATGCTTGTTCCCTTTCTCTGTGAAAGAACAAGCCCTGACAAAGGAGAACATGTACTGTGTTAAAAGCTATTGTGGCACAAAAATCAAAACTGGCCCCTGGGTAGGTTCATCAGTTCAATACCTATATTCTCTAGTTCAAGTTTATTCAATGTGGTCTAACAGGCTGTTTCAGACTACTAGAAGAGGAGTACTCTGATAATTTCCTTCACCAGTCTTGATTCAAATCAGTGAAGCAGATGCTTCTAGTCTAAGTCTTCTTACTAGTAGTACAAGAGTCAGAACAGTGATCATGCAAACTTCTTCTTTGTAGCTGTAAATCGTTCCATGTACTACAAAGAAAACAAAAAAAAGCCTATTATTTTTTCAGAAGTTAACAGAAGATTCTTTACTGCTAAAGGCAGCTGAGCTTCTGCTCTGTCTCAAAAACGTTCTGCATCTAAAGCACATTTTTATATGCCGAGCATAGCTCCTGGCATTTGCTGCAATTCAGATTAATAGTCCAGTGTTAGGGATGAACTAATATTAAATACTTAACAAATGCTGTATAATTCAAAGCATCCTTTATTTTTTGTCACATCAAAGTGAAGACATGCTTGTCATTATTAGCTACCCTTCAAAAGATGCTGATGAAAGAACAGTGACCCTGAATTCTACAAGGAAGTTATCTTTGAAGAACTCCTGGAGATGTTTTCAGAGGTTAGTTATGAATCCAGTAGCAATGACACCACCAACAGACTATTTGGTGCTTTTATTCAGCAGCATAAATGCTTAGTATTCTGAGTAAGGACTTCACCAGGAGTTTCTTAAAAAAAGACAAAAACCCCAAAACAAAACACAAACCTTGTCATAACCTTCCAGTTCTCTGAGTTTCTTGATTTCAAAGAGGTTGCCTTCTACTGCAAGCAGTGAGATCTGGGAATCACTGAGGATACTCTGAGGCAGCATGCTGAGTTCTAGACAATTTTCTTCTAAACGCAAGACTTTGAGGCGTGGACAGTGGGAGATCTGCACTGAGATCTGGGAAATCTTGTGGAAATAAAAAGAAAAGAGAAATGGGATTAAAATGGTAGCAATCAATAATTATTAAGTGATCTGTTTCCAACTTATACAGAACAACCATATTGTAAATATAAACTACATTAATAGCAAGTACTTAAAAGCAATGGATAAGTAACAAATTATCAAAAATCAAAGTATTTTTTTTAGTCCATGATGACAAGCAACCTACACATCCCTTTATCACATTCCTACTCAAGAACTGTTCAAATATTTTTCTGCATTACTAAATTCAGGATTTTTTTGTTCATCAAATCAGGCAGTTGGATGTATTGGTACACAAAATCTAATTATGATTCCTCATTTCCATTGTGTCCAGGAGATGTCTTTTAACTATAAAGTTCTCATGGTCTCATCTTATGTTCCATGGCTGTACTAAGTCCTAAATCCACATTCCCACAAGATCTCAGTTACCAGACCTGATTCTGATTCAAATTGAGTTCGATAGCCTGCAGTTCTCCCACAGTGTCAGGGACATTTTGGATCTGGTTTTTTGAAAGATCTACCACATCCAAATGGCGAAGACCAGAGAGCTGTGTAGGCACAGTCCGAAGCTGGTTGCCAGAAAGGCTCAGAGTTTTGAGAGCTGAAAGTTGTCCAAATGCAGCCGGTAGCTGCCTCAAGTGATTGCCATTCAAGTGTAGTGTTTCCAGTTTTTTCAGTTTACACAGCTCCTCAGGTAAAGCAGCTAGAGAAAAATTATAGAAAAACATATGAGCTAAAGAGCAGTAAACATTCATACCCATCTAATTCAAATAAGCTCTGCAGGGAGAACAGTGCTATATTAAGCAATTTCTCACTACTGAATTCCTCCCCAATTTCCAGTGAAGGCACAGATCCCTGCACAGAAACTGAAGCCCACAGACAACACGTGCTTTTTAACCATCATTCATAAATTTATTAAAAATAATCTACAGACAAGGCCAACCTTCAAATCACAGTCTGAAATCACTGTTTGGAAGATTTTAACCTGTCAGTAGTCCTTACTAATCTTCTGCCAGCATGTTCTATGACACTTGAAATACCACAAAATTCACAGCTTCACTTTTGCCCTTTAAAGGCATTATGCAACTTATAGAAGTAAGTTAGGAGATTATTCACACTGTGTCATACCAGCATACAAACACTACCAGGTAAAGTCTGCTGGCATCCATTCATCCCTCTTTACACCTAAACATGTGTATAACCTCTAACACTCCTGAGCTGCACTATAGAGTCAATCAGGTAAATTATCTTTGCTTTTTCAAAAAGGCTGATAATACATAATTAATGCATAAAACCCCTAGTTTACTCATTGTGGTTTTTCCATAATGATGGATGTTTGTTTAACAGAAACAGCTGAATGGCCAGCAACACTGTCTACATGTCATCTTCATTACCTGTTCTCTAGGCAAGTACTAAACCATCTGGCACTGTTAAATCCTCATGTCAGGTTAAGTCACAGCATAAAACCTCTATGGGTTAAGTACTCATGTGTCATTGTAAAATTGATAATACACTAAGCAGCAATACTCTAGTTTTGTAGAATTTATGATTTAGAGATTTTTATCCTGTACATGAATTCCAAAGATTTCAGTTTAGGTGAGTAAACTCCCCATTTACATCTTGTGAGAGTTAGATAATAAAATTTAGTTTTTGATAGAGAAAAATAGTTATTATTTTAAAAATGATTGGAGATATTAATTAGCAGGCATACTCAGTTTGTTGTTGTTTAGAGCAAGGCTCTTCAAAAAGGAAAATTTTCCAATGAGAGGTGGCAAGAGCTCTATTTTGTTGTTCGACAAGTCTATTGTCCTTAAGTTGCTTGTTAGCTTCTGCAGATCTTCAGGAAACTATTGGGGGGAAAAAGATACAGCATTTAAAGAGTTGATACAAATTTGAATGTTCAAGTTGTACAGTTAAAATTTAATTGTCTCACTGTTACATACTGTCATATGTATCACAATGTCTAATCACCACAGTGTGGTTAGCAAACTTGTTTAACACATATTTTTAAAAATATTTTTTCATCTGGGGAGGGGAAAGGGGGTATAAAGAAAACATCTAGAAGCAGTAGCTTTTCAGCCAAATAAGTAAAATTTAAAACATTACATTTTCATCCTCTTATGTGTTTCTCTTAAACATGCCTATCATTTAAAATACTCTATGGCCAGTTAATAACTCTATGTTTTAGCAGAGTATGATGTGAAATTTTTTCTCCTGCTTTCCTTTTTAAATAATTACATATACAATTTTCCTTTTTCTCATTTACATCCTGCACCATTTTGGTACTGAGTCTTGGCACTCAGGTGAATAAAAGGAAAATCTGACAATCACCATCAAGGAGTCCTGGTGAATACGCCAGTGATTTTGATCCTCCATGGGCTTGACAGAGAAAAAGTGAAGAGAGGAGGTAGGACAGTGGAAGAAGGTATGTTAGAAAAGGCTTGGAAAGTTACTGTAATATAGAGTTATTTTTGGCTATCCTGTGAATTATTGCTTGACTTATAGTTCCAGGATATTCTGATTTTTTCTGCAGTTGAGTCTAAGTTAAGATAATTTCCAATATAATAAACTTTCAGGATGCTTGCTGCCAGCCCAATGAACAGCCTGTATAGACTATTCATACGGCTACAACTAAATACAGCATAAGTACTTAAATGTGACAAATTGTGGAGTATCTTTCTAAGTTACAATATGGTTATAAAATTCGTATTTTCTCCCTCAAGTTTACAGCCGTGTTCTAAAAGCACAACATCATAGCTAGTACTTCTTGAACATATTTGCACTGTAAAGCATAGGCTCATACAAGTGTCCCGACAAAGAAATCCTCAATCGGAAGACAAGGCAAGCAAAAATAGGAAAAAACCCTTGAAATAGTTTTCATGACTCTTTATAAGAAATACATGTATGCAAGTGCATTACAACAAGTGGGAATTTCTCTCCAGAAGTACCAGTCATATGCACAAACATATGTTTCCCCTCCCAGTACATTACCTCAGTAAGTCCCTTTCCTGTTAGCTGAAACACACCAGTTTTCTGTGCTGTCTCCAGGTGCGCTTTTAGTGCACTATTTCCCATTCTAACAGTTCTCTGTCAAGCACGCGGAGTTCAGGTGATGGTGTCAGCCAGTTTTACTTTGTGTTAGAGAACTGCAATCCAAAGTCTCTGCGATAAAGCAAATTAAAAAGTCATTTTAGGTGCACTGTCCCCAACACTACAAGCATTCTGACACAATGAACGATTTCACCACTGTGTTTTCATCTCCCTCATCATTAAAACCTGGAAGTACAAATGTTTACCTAGATTAAGGGGTTTTCCTTACAGCAGTTTGATTACTGAAACTACGCAACAAGCACAGTTAAAACTAAGTGAGAAAACTGCACATTTCTGTATTTTCCCTCTTTCGAGGCCCCGCAGCATAAGGAGATTCTCCACGGAGACGGGCTGTGATTTCTGTGGCATCTACCGGCGCTGGCCTGCCCACACAGCTTCTGTTTTATTTGGGGCTTTCTTTGAGACCTGTACTCTATTTAGAGAACGGACTTCTCTGCCGTGGCTACTAGCAGAGACACAACACCCACCTCCGTAACCCCAGCGGGGTTTAATCCCAGGGCGCACGGGTCACAGGCCCGGGATTAGCGCCGGCTTCGCAGCCGGGCGCTGGGGAATGAAGCCCGGGGGACAGCCCGTAGCAGCCGCGACAGGAGACGCGCTCCCCGCCCCGCGGGGCCCTGGCAAGGGGCGAGGTCAGCCCTGACCCGCAGCAGGCCGCGTCCCCCCGCCCGGCTGCTCCGGCCCCGACCCCCGCAGCGCCGGGAGCCGCCTGCTCCAGCCCAGCCTAGCCTAGCCTAGCCTAGCCCGGCCCGGCCCGGCCCGGCCCAACCAACCTGTCCGGGCGCCGCTGGCAGACGCTCCGCGGCGGCGGAGCCCCGGCCCGTCCCCCGCGCTCCGCCCTTCCAGAACCGCCGCTCCCGCAGCGCCCGCCCGGAACCGGACGCGTGTCAGCGCCGTTCCTGCCACGCCCGCCATGGCGGCCGCCAGGCGCTCTGGGTCCCTGCGGAGCACCCGGACCCCGCTCGCGGCGGCGGCCCGGCCCAGCCCCGGGCCCCGCGGGGCGGGCGAGCCCGAGCTGGACTCCGAGCCCCTTCCAGAACCGCCGCTCCCGCAGCGCCCGCCCGGAACCGGACGCGTGTCAGCGCCGTTCCTGCCACGCCCGCCATGGCGGCCGCCAGGCGCTCTGGGTCCCTGCGGAGCACCCGGACCCCGCTCGCGGCGGCGGCCCGGCCCAGCCCCGGGCCCCGCGGGGCGGGCGAGCCCGAGCTGGACTCCGGTTCCGAGCTGGACTCCGGTTCCGAGCGGGACTCCGGTTCCGAGCTGGACTCCGATTCCGAGGTGGATGGCGATGGAGAGGTGGAGCTGGAGTGGAGCTTGAGCCTCAGCGCGGAGAGCGATGAGGAGCAGGGCGGCAGCGCGCCCCGGCGCGGGTGGCCCGAGGCGCGCTCGGCGGCGGCCGCGCTGCTGGAGCGGTGCGTGGCGGCGGGCACCGTGAGCCAGGTACCGCCCGGACAGCGCCGCCCGGAGCGCTGCCCCCTGAGCCGGGCCGCACTGCGGAGCGCGGGAGAACGACATACTTTTAACTGCTGCAAGCCATTCTAGAGCATTTGCCCGGTACGTTCTTGCAGCTGATTGCATTTTTCCTGTTGTCTTGCTTTCAAAGGAGACCTTGGATTTAACTTGCAGAAGAACGCCATGCTTTGCAAAATTCTCAGAGATGGAAGAAATGGTAAACATGGAAGCTGAAATCAATGAGGTACAGCCTTTACTATTGTCAGTGTACACTCAACACTTCAATACCTGGAGGTGATACAGGGCCCCGATGAAATATCAGACTGCCACATGCTATGTTGCTTCATGTTTTAAGGGGTTTGTTAACAGTTCAGCTGTTTAACAATTGGCATTTTTTCCCCCAGTGGACTGAGTTGTCATAAAGAAAACAAAACTGAAACAAAATTTTAAGGTGTAAGTAGAAGGATGCCCCATCCCTGAAAAGTGTTCATGGCCAGGTTAGAGGGGCTCTGAGCCAAATTGGTCTGGTGGGTGATATCCCTGCCCATTGGCAGGAGCTTGGAACTAGATGATTTTTTAGGGCCCTTTCAACCCAAGCCATTCCATCATAAATTCTGGGGTTTATGAATGAATTGCAGGATCTGTCTTTTCTAGCACAAATCTCCAATTTAGGTTGGTCTTTTTAAACAGTCTTTTTCTTATTGACCAAAAAAAGTCCCACCTAGTAGTAGAAATTCTCCAGAGAGGAGGGCAACATGTTCTTGTGCTAATGCTTGCCCTCTTTCACCCACATGCTCTCCCTATGCTACCTCATTGTCCCTTTTCACTTCACCCCAGGAGAGTCAACAATGTCTGGATAAGTATGTTAAAAATGCATTTCATTTGATGTTATTGCTGTTGTAGATAAAACTGAAAACTGAAATGATGCAGTTGGAGAATGAGACAGCAGACATTACTCACCCTTTTTACTTAGGTAAGTGCAGTTGTACCATAGAAAAACCAAGAGTCTTAGCAGCAGATTAATGTTTCGTCTGAGTACATGACACTTCTAGAAGTTATTGCAGCAGTAATCTCTGAATAACTTGTTAGAGATGGTAGGTGTTTTATGAACACCTAAAGCATGTTTCCATACTAGTTGAGCTTGCACTCTGCAGTCTCACAGAAGGTCCATGTGTAATTCATTCTCCAAAACAGTTGGGAGGTGTGGTCAGCTCCCCAGGGTCAGTGCCTCATCAGTTCTGAGATCATCAGTAAGCGTTGACCTGCATGTGCTACTCTGCCTCTTTTCCAGAAACTCAGTGTATTTCTGTTGCATCTCTATCCCCCCCAAACTTACTACATTTTTAATTTAGCAATTGGGGAGCACATGCATTGGTTTCTTTATTATTGCACACTCTGTCCACTATGATTCTCTGTGTGCTTAAAAACATTCTAGCTTGCTACTGTTGTGCTAGACCAGTGAAATCTGTTGGGATACTTCAGTGCTATGGTGTAGTTGACTTAATCTCACAGAGAATTTACTTAAGACTATTTATAATGTAAAACAATCATATTTATCTCTAAAAAGGAGGTGTTGTGACTTTGAGTGTGTGCTTATACTAAATCATATGTGCTCCAACAAAAGCCATTCTGATTAATGTCTCTTGAATGTAAGCTGTCCACTGCAGTAGGTCAGTATTTTCCTTTCTGTCTTCAGGATCATTTTTTTCTCTTGTTTTAGCAGGACAACAGGTTCAACATTGCAATTTTATTTTACAGGGAAAAAGTGTGAGATTTTGCAGGATATGAACAGACACCTGGAAGCCATACTGAAAGAGAAGAGGGCTCTCAGAAAGAGGTTGATCAAACACAGACATCAAGAAAGCCTGCCTATTGAGGCTACTTATCACAAGTAGGTACACAGAAAATAATTTTTCTTGTTTGCCAGAGGCCCAATTAATTTGAACTAACAGAGAGTAAAAATCATATGTTTTCAATAATTTTCCACTGATAAAAATAGACATAAGAAATGGTAGCAAAGCTCAGCTAAAAGCAGGTAGTTTACTCATTAATAAATTCATAGAAAAGGTAGTGATGCAGATTTTATGAATATTTACTTACGTTATTGGTCTTGTCTTTAGAAGTCTACAGAACAGGTTGTGGTGTATTGTTTTAAACAGATGTGCTACATGCTGGATTTGTTGTGCTTCTCCCAAGCAGGAGTTGTTACTTTAGCACTGGGTGTCTTGGTTCTACTGTTGCTTGCTTGGAGCTAAATGTGACTGATTCCCAGACATGCATAGTGCATGTTCTAAAAGCATAGTCCTTCTTCATACAGTCTAAAAATCTAGCCCAGGTGTAGCCATGATACTTTAATGAAAAATCCTCTGCTAGGATTTTTCCCGTCCTGAGGAGTTGAGAGCCTCAGGAAAGAAATGTAAACAATAACTATCTGCTGCTGTGGAAGGCCACAGGTGCATCTGTCGTTGGTCCATGTGGATTGTTTTCAATCAGTGACCAATCACAGCCACCTGTGCCAAGGCTGTGAGCAGTCACAGGATTTTGTTACTGATTCCTGTTCTATTCTTGTCTTTGTAGCCTTCTGATCTTCTTCTCTCTGTTCTTTAGTCTAGTTGTAATGTAGTATTTTAATATAATATATAACATAATAAATCCGCCTTCAGATGAAAATGGAGTCAAGCCTCGTGTCCTCACACAAGGGGTCTCAGCTTAAACAAGACCCAGGTACTGAAGGAGTTCACTTCTGTAATTCCTGCCCTGCTTGTTGCTAAGAGTCATACAAGAAGTGTAATTGCAGAAAAAATATTTAGATGTTTAGGAACTTGCATAAAGCTGTAAAAGGGGACTAAGAAAAGCGGGGCAACGAAAAAGAATTTATAAGTATTAGATCCTTGTTGTTTAGCACAACTTTTGAGCTTATTTTTGGTTACAGGTCTCTAGTAGAGTTGTTGGCTGAGGCTGTGACTTTCATTGAGAAGCTTGAAAGCCATTTGCAGTCTGTGAGAAGCATCCCTCAGATACCACAGATGATGAGCAATATGGTGAGTAGTAAAAGAATTGAGCCAGCTGTCTTCTCCAGCATGAAAAATGCAGTGCTGTTTGGTTGTTTTAGGTTACTTCTATGTGCTGATAGACTGACAGGATGTCTAGAGACTAAATCCACCCCTTTTCTGTTTCAGGACACCACTTTGTCAAAAACAGAGGTGCTCATGATAGAATTGGAGAAGCTGAGAGAGCAAATACTGAAATGGGAAGAACTGCAAAAGGAAGTGTATTCTAACAATGTGTGCAATACTGCTGACTTGGACTTTGGCTTATCTTCAACCTAACAAATCCTTTTCCTCAAGTTGGATGGTTACTCAAAGAACTATATTCTTAGGGTCTTCTGTGAAAAGTGCAACATAGATCTCTTAATCCAACAGAGACTTCATAGGTAGGTTTATCTGTGTGATTAAGTAACAGTTCTTCAACTATTTACTAAAAAAAGGACAGTGCTCATGGGAAGACAGGGTACTGAGAAACCTGTTGAGAGTTCCTTTCTGAAGTAATTGGATAGGAGTCCCTTGGAGCCTGTATCTTCAGTGGAGAATTGTTTCAATTTTATTTTGCACTTGTTATAGTATCTTGATTCATTTTTGTAAGCATCTTGATAAAACACTGTATTTTGTATGTTGCCATGAAACTTTAATAAAAGCAATAGATTTCAAAAGGTCGGTTTTTTGCTTTTAATTTTGTTACAAAATCCTGTCATTAAAATTACAGAGCAAAGTCTTAGGTCCAAGCTTATGCTTCTATAGGAGTTCTAATCAAGAAATTAAATTATTTTTAAATCCGTTTATTATGACTGATGTGGTTTTGTGGGAAAGCAGGAAATGGACTTGCTAATATATGGGAGGTCTACTGATTTGCAAATGATGCTTCAATGGTAGTGATAAATATATTCTTCAGATTCTCTTTTATCTGTTGTTTGCCTGATTTTCAGTGTCCCACTTAGAATAAAACTCTTGTTCCATGAGTAAGATTGACAGTTTATCAAAACCATTGATTGTCCCAGTTTGTAGCCCTCATGAAGAGACGGGTTGGTACAATGTCACTGGCAGGACATCTATAATCCAAGATAGTTGGTTGTCTTTGGAGGGTGCCCAGTTTTGTATTCAGGATATGGAGTAGACTGAAGTGCTGCAGATGTGTTCCTTTCTACTGTTGTATCATTTGTTATGTGAACATTCACCTGTTGATTTCTGTTGCTGAAATAAGAATATTTTGCTTTCTCAAAGTAACCACTGGGTGGCTCAGTACCACAAAGTTCACAGGTTTATCTGATTATTGCATGTAAACTTAAAGCAGAATTAAGGAAGAAATCTTTGGCTCTTTGTTGAGCACACTATTATGACTTACTTATTTGGTCTATTTTCTATTTGAACTTTTCT